CCTTTTAAGTTGCATTACTGAAATAAATGAACTTTTACACGATATTCTAATTTTTTGAGTTTCACCTGTATATGAAGGGAAGTAAAAACAGTGGAGTATTGCAAGGTTCTACCATAGGCCTAATACTTTTTAATATCTTCATAAACAATTTAGATGAGGGAATAGAAAGGGAACTCAACAAATTTGCAGACATCAAGCTGGAAGGAATAGGCAACACTCCAGAAGATAGTCTCAAGATCCAGAAGAATGTTGACAGGCTTGAATCCTGGTCCCTATTTAACAAAATGAAATTCAATGGTAAAAAAAGTAAAGTTTTATACTTAGGCAAGAAAAACCAAATGTAAGGTATGGAATAGGTGGAACCTGGCTCAATAACAGTAACTGTGAGAGGGATCTTGGAGTCCTAGCAGACAATTACTTAAATATGAGCCAGCAGTGTGCTGCAGCCACCAAAAAAGCCAATGGAATATTAGGTTGCATTAACAGCTAGAATCAAGATCATGTGAAGTATGAAGTAGCATGTTAGTACCACTTTATAACAAATTGGTAAGACTACCCTTGGAATACTGCATCTAGTTTTGGTCACTACAATATAAACCACATGTTGAGACTCTGGAAAGAGTGCAGAGAAGAGCAACAGAGATGCTTAAGGGGCTGGAGTCTAAAACATATGAAGAATGGTTGCAGGAATTGGGTATGTCTAGACTAGTGAAAAAAAGGACTAGGGGTGACATGATAGCAATGTTCCAATATTTGAGGGACTGCCACAAAGAAAAGGAGATCAACCTGTTTTCCAAAGCACCAAAGACAGGACAAGAAACAATGGATGGAAACTAATTAAGGAGAAAAGCAACCTAGAGCTAAGGAGAAATTTCCTGACAGAACAATTAACCAGTGGAATGCATTGTCTTCAGAAGTTGTGGGTGCTCCATCGCTGGATGTTTTTAAGAAAAGATTGGACTGCCATCTGTTCAGAATAGTATAGGGCCGTGATGGCGAACCTATGGCATGCATGCCCAAAGTGGCACACGAAGCCCTGTCACCCGGCAAGCGCAGCCTTGCCTGATTGTTTTCCGGGTTTCTGGCGCAATGCATGCATGACGATCAGTTGCTCTTTGCGCATGCATCAGTGCCGAAAACCGGTGTGCACATGCACGCTGGCCAGCTGATTGTCGGGTACACATGCGTTCTATGAGCACATGTGTGTACGTGTGACATTTCCGTGTGACCTTTTTAGCACTCGGTATTGAAAAGGTTCGCCATCACTGGTATAGGGTCTCCTGCTTGAGTAGGGGGTTGGATTACAAGACTTCCAATGTTTCTTTCTGTTCTGTTCTGTTCTGTTCTGTTCTGACCGATTTTTTTTTTAAAGTTTTATTGGATTTTTATTTTTAAATATACATGAACAGTGTGGCCTCTGGGTATAATTCATTTTGATACAAACAGCGATGATGATGATAATGATGATGACGATGATGATGATGATAATAACGCTTGGGAAGTGTTCGACTAGTGATTTGAGATACAAAATCCAGCATGGTTATCTTGTTTGCTGTGTATACTGTTAAGTTTGTGAATAATAATAATAATAATAATAATAATAATAATAATAATAATAATAATAATAATAATAATAATAATTGTTACATTAGTCAAATTTATATAATCCTAGTATTGATATACATAATTGTTGTAGAGTAGTTATTCAATATTTCAATGTTCCATTTTAATGCCAATGATGATATTAAGCATACATAGTAATACCATCTTTCAACCTCTAATCTTTCCATCTAATTATTACTTATACTCTATTATATAAAAATTATATCTGCTAATATTCCCCCTATTTCTTATTTGTAGCTCTATTCTAACTTCTAGTCAGGCCATCGTTACTAATCCTAGTGCTAATACACTTGTTTATATTAAGACATAGTCCTTCATTATTTGGTTGTTCAAAGTCACAGTACACCATTCACGTACCAGTCATCCTATTATTTAAACATAACTAATAATACCATCTTTCAACCTCCAAACTTTCCACCTAACCATTGCTTTATATAAAGGTGTGTATTCTTATTTCTACATCTCTTCTACTTTTTAATCAGGCCATCATTATATTAGAAAAAAAGAAGAAGAAAGTAATAACTCCTTTCTTGCCTGTTTTAATACTTCAATTCTTATTTGTTTTTTGGCTTGCTTCCCATACTCCTCTCTTGGATCTTTGTCTCTATTAGCATCTATGTCTTCACCATTCAGTCTGAATATTTCTGCCATCTCTATCCTTGTAAACTGCCACGTCTCCAGAGTGTCCACCCAAACCCCTATCTCCCTTTCAAAAGTATCTTCCAGGTTATCCGATTCCATTTTTAAATCTCTTAAAGTACTTTTCCCTTGGTTTATTTCATCAGTCATTCTTATCTTTATCGTCTTCTCCTTCTCATCTTCTTGCTTTGTTTGCTGGTTTGTCTGTTCTATCTTTTCCTCCATTGTTTCTGCTGTCTCCTCTCTTTCCCGGGATCTTTGATCTTCATTCATTATCAGTTGTAGCATATTTTCTATTTTCCCATGTATGTCTTGCATTAGATTCTTTATCTCTCTGTGATCCTTTGTCATAGTACCCCTAATGCTTTGAAGCATCAATGCCATTTCTCTTGAAATCTCACTCATTTTCCCCTGATGGAGCATCTTGTCTTATTTTAATAAGTCCTGCTCTTACTCAAGTCCAAAAACAATATATTCAAGTCCAATGTAAGTCCATGAAAATTCAATAATCATAGTTCTTTACATCTCAGGATTATTAATCAGTTCCATTTAAGTAGTCCAGGCAGCTTCCACAAATCAAGTGTTACTTTACTTTACTTTACTTTACTTTACTTTACTTTACTTTACCTTACCTTACCTTACCTTACCTTACCTTACCTTTAACTTTAACTTTAACTTTAACTTTAACTTTAACTTTAACTTTACTTTACTTTTTTATTCTCACAATAGAGTCTCCAGTAATCATAAAATAGATAGTTATAGAACAGTAAGTATCATCACAGTCCTCCAGATGAATGTTGTTTAGTTCTCTTATCAAGAATTTTCCCAGTCTTGTAGGGGTATGGTATATTTTCCATTCACCAGTAGATGGCGGACTCAGCTTAGGTTTCAGTGTTATTTCAAGTCTGATAAATTGATTAATCCAAATTTAGTTCAATTTATGGAAGCAAAGTCAGCTATTCAAGTAGATAGTTCCAGCATTTTATAATGCCTTTCCAAAACAACGTCTATCCAGTTTAAAAATCCAATTTTCTATGTTTTAAAAGGTCTTTAGCTTTTCTCCCCTTAGTTCCTTTCTTTCAGGTCTAGGATTTTTCTCTCTATCATTGTTCGCCACTTTAAGAAATAGTTCTAAGAATCTCTTTTCCTGGATTTTCCTTTTTTTTTTTTTCCTTTTAAGGTTAGGGTCTAAATAAAAAAGAAATCTTCTCACCCAGCTCCAGTCACTGTTCATCTACACCACTCCTGCACATTTCTTTGTTGCCTCAGCTGTCCCAGCTTCGTGGCAGCCATGATGGCTGCCTCTTCTCCTCATCATGGATCCGAGGGAAGAAATCCTGGGTCAAGCAGGAGAGTTGCTGCTCTCTGTGACCTGCAGGGTATGCCTCTTTTCTTCACCACTCCTACAGGGTGGCTATAGCTCCTTTTGGAGCCTTGCAACAGGAAGAACTCGGTGCGGGAGCACAGAGACCTGCTCCTCACATCTTGCCATGATGTCAGCTGGAAGTCCCGAGGGCGGAGATTCTTTAAAAACCTATAAAAATGTGCCTCTTTTGACATCTCAAGTTCCTCCTTGCAATGGATGATGAGCATTATAACAAAAAAAAAGGGAAAAAAGACAATAACACATTCTGGAGGTATACTGTAGATTGACATCCAAAGGTATTTAAGCTTTGTGTGTTTTAGCACTATCGCTCTCTCACATCCACCCCCTAATGAAAAAATCCTATAGAACTGTAGTTTTTCAGGAATGCAGCTGTTCTTGGGGAATACTAAGAATGCCAGGGTCCATACATTTTTTTGTTTCTGTTGATCCTCAAAGGAGCAATGAGGATAAACAGAGTTGGTAGGGAAGGCACATTTTGCAGAATCTCCTTCCCAGCATCAGTGCTCTGATATATACAAGGGCACAGGTAAAGCCACTGCTGCAAGTTGAAATTGGGGACAATTCTTGTCATCTTTTTGAGAACTGCAGGGAAAGTAGGTTGGAGAACCCTGCAAGAACAGCCACAATGCAACAGGATCGCACATGGAACCAAAACTGCTATATTTGCTAGGAATATATTTGCAAGGTGTGGCCAAAACAATCAGAATGGCAGGCACAAACAAGATGGCAGCCACAGCAAAAAGATGGTGAGAAGCCCGGAAGCTAAATTCTACACAGACCAGTTGAAGGAACTTGGCATGATTAGTCTTAAGAAGAGAAGGCTGAGGGGAGGCATAATAGCAGCCATCCAAAATTTGAAGGGTCAGCACAGGAAAAAGCATGTGATTTATTCTCCAGAATAAATGTAATAAATAATTTTTAAAACTACCAGCTCTTTAATAGGCCCATTATGTCTGCCATGTTGATTTTTTTTGGCTACATCTTGAAATTATTCCTGATATTTATTTCCATATTTTCCTTGCCATAGCTCTCAATTTATGTCCTGTTCTGCATAATAGGATTTCTCTTTTTTCATCTTGCAGTTCATCTGTCTCAGGGATTTGGCACATTATGATAGCTGTTTTTACTGAGTTTTCACTAGTCTCTACTTTTCCTTTTATAAACCATTTTTGTAGGTTTATCCAGTGCCTTTTCCAATCTCCCCCGCCCCCTTTTATTCTCATTTGTTTCTTTAGATGAAGATTGTGTTTATATCACACTCTTGCTATAAGAGCAAAAAAAATACTGCTATGCCAAATATTCTCTTCGACAAATAATGTGATAATTCTTTTTTTTCTTATTATTTTTGTAGTGTTGAAACTATGCCCATGAAAAAGTAAGAAAGCTTTATTAATCATATGGCATGTAAAGTGGGAGTGGTTGTGATTTTGTTTTGTTATGGACTTTTGGCATTTTCAAACATACCATATTTGGATTGTTGATTTTTTTTTCTCTATATCACTGCCTTTTTGATCTACATACATAGCTACAAAATTTTACGTTCAAAATATCTCGACATGGAACATTCTGTAGAATTCCCTTCCATTTCATAGAGTTCACAGGCTCATCATTTCAAATAATGCCTTTTTTAATTACCATCTTTGTAACTGCAATTTGAATTAAATTACATTTTATCATTAACCCACTCCTTTCCTCATGTTTTTATTTTATTACAGTTTGGAAAATGGTAATATTGGTTATCATAAAGAGCAATTATATGGTATACACAATCCAGTTATGACAAGGTAAACCAAGTTTAAAACTGCCCACCTTTTAAGTGTTCTTAGTATTTCTTGTATTATTCATATACATTTCTGCACATTTTAAAGTCCATATCATTTCTTTTTACATGATTTTTCCTTGACTATGTTTTTTCACATATCCTATAAAAATATAATTTTAATAGTGAAATTGATTACTTAGCAAGTGCTCTTATTTTAAAACAATTTTTTTCAAAACATTTGTTTGAAGTTGAAAAGCATTACAAATATTTCTTTACCAAAAAAAGCCATAGTAGTTCGAATTATATATAAATTAAATAGCAGTGTACATATACCATTATTTGATTTAAAAAACTTCTTATCATTTTAAAAATAAAGCTATACATACATACATACACATATATACATACATATGCATATACATAAACCAAAGAACAAAAATGTAGGAAATATTAGGAGAAATATTAAAAACAAAAACTATTGTAAACTAAACAAGGAAATAAAATATACATTAGTTCCTAAATTATATTTATCATATAAAAGCCGGTGTATAAATAAGTAGACATTAGACTATAAAAGTTATATTTCTTCTCTTATTTCCATATTATGATCCCATTTTTAAACAAGGAATTAAACTAGACAGGTTCATATTATCCTGGCTAATAACCCAGCTGATTCCAAGGGTGAGAGTCGACAAATTTCATGGTAGCCAACATTTAGTCTAGGATACCATTATTCTTTGATGAGCATCTGATCAGGCTTCTTGCCACAGTCCAATGGCCAAACCTGAAGTTTAAAGTTTAGGTGATCCAATGGCAATATATGCTAAGTGCTTTATAGAGTGAAAGATTCCAAGCTTTTGGAATATATTTTAAGAAAACATTAACTTTTTTTGACCTTAAGTCCCTTTTAGTTTCCCCTAGCAACAATGACTAACCAATTGCAATATCTCTAACATGTTCCCCAAAGTTCCTCCAGCACAGATATGCTGAGAACCAGCTTTTTAAAGTAAAGCAAAGTTCCACAAGAATATTTGCTAAGGAACTAGGGGAAAGGTTGAAAAACAGCAGAAGACCATCCTACTACACAATTGTATTGGACAATTTTGCACTTAGATGCCAATTTCTAAAATTGAGAAGGTCTGTCCAGAATTCTTCAAACTCCAAATCTACTTCCCTCACAAATCATCAGTATTTCTAATTTTAAAAATTAATAGAAATTGAAAACCCATAAGTGAAAACTTGTCCTCTGTAGGGATATTGACATGGAAATCTGTTGAAAGCATGTTAGAAAATCAATTAGCATTATTTCAAGCATCCATTTCCTTTCATCTTTCCATAGTCAGAAATCGTACCATGGACATCTGTGCTGAAGGAACTTTGAGGCACATTGGGGAGATATTGCAAAGACAGCTCTTGAACTCCTTTTCCCCAGTTCTTCATACCAGGGCTTTATAACCTTCACTCTCTTTCTCTAGTTATTCCTTATCTTCTTTTCCAATCTGCATATTCTCACTTCTTAGTGGATTATAAAAAGCTTTATATTTTTGTTCATGAAAAAAAGTCAAGGCCTCAATGTCCTGGTGCCTTTTGTGATCACAAATGCATGACCTCATTCCCAACCTAGGAACTGGAATAAAACTGGGTAATAAAGCTCCTTTTCACTTTTCAGTTTCTATATTGTATTGTTCCTGACTTATCATATTTATGTAGTTATCTCCACACAGATTTATATTTTTGTGGATTTTCCCCCTCTTAGCTCTGTGGAACAGTGGTAACTCAGACTGGAACTATTAACCGTAAGTTGCATGGCTTATTTATCTGTTTAAATTTGATGGCCTTAAAAAGTGGACATCTGGGTTCATGTAAATGCTAACAAAGATGAAAATGTTGAGGGGCAAGGCTTTCCAAATGGTTTTCAATTCTTAATAGTGGTGGCCATTTTCACTTGTGTGTGTATTTTCATTTCATGTATGTGTATGTGCACTGGGAAGCTCAGGGCCACCTGCATAAGTTCCAGATGGAGGAAGAAGAGAGTGTCTTAGAATTTACCTTCCTGTTGGAGAGGCATTGGGGGATGACAATGACAATGAGGATAATCTCCACAGCCTAAGACTCAGCCAGCCCATTTTTAGACCTGCTTTTTTTTTGCATTGGCTTTGTGTGCCAACTTTGGCTCTAAACAGTTCAGTTTTCAGAGAGATCATGCTGATGGATGGACAGACAGATGGATAAGCCTAGGCCTCTTGATATATATTTTTTTCAATCTTCTGTTATATTAGAAAGATTAAAAGCCCCCCTCAGAGGCATCTTGTCATGGACGCCTCTGCCATTTTCCCTATTCCTGACTCTAAACATGATTGTACCCCAGTCCAGTTATGCTCATGTTTCCACCGTCACAGGAAAGCGATTTCACCTCTGTTCTCTTGTAATGGGACAATCCTAAAAGCTCTGAATTCTGTCTTGTGACTTTCTTTCCAGCTTCTGGAAACAACAGTTTCTCCTCAAGGAAAGCTAAGCTGAACCATCATGTTTGAAGATAGCACAGCAAACTGATCTTGCATAAAAAAAGAATTACTGAATCTTTGGTCATAAAGTGAAGGCAGGTTAATGGCAATTGGGCCACCTGGCCTCGGTTTTGCTGCCAAGAAACCATTAAAACTGTTATGGGCTTTGTTCTTGTTTCATAAAATAATTTTCATTTTTTTTTCTTGTACCATATAAATGAAATGAAACAGGTCTAAATGGATATTGTCCTCATTTTATTTTATTTTTGCTTCACCTGAATTGTTTGTTCAAAATGAATTAGATTCTTCTTAAAATATCCAATGATGTTTGTACGCTATATAAAAATATGTTTACATGAAAAATTATTTGAATACAGAGACTTTTGTACCTGAGTTTTTTACAGCTGTCTCGCAACAGACTTTTAAACAACATTTGTTATCTTTCATAAGTAACCTGTTCAGTGTTCAACATTTCTCTGGTGCTGTTAAAAATGAAGGGGAAAAAAAAGCAAGTATGGAACTATGGATCCTGTCTTGTGCTGTTTTCAGAAATATGAATGTAAATGAAGTAAATCACTTTTTCTGAATTCTTATTTAAGACAGTATTCTTATTTAAGCTGAAACATATATCTATGTGAGGAGAGCAATATATGATTTGCTTGTCTCTGAACACACAGATAGACAAATAAGCAGTGGAGATCTTTTGTAATATGAGAAGAGATATTCCCAAAAAATCTATCTGAAGCTTCAGTAAAGTGATTAGATGCACCAGAAGACAACCACTGACTCATTTTGGTGAAATATTGTAAATCTCCACTATGTTCCCAATGTGAATAAGTCTGATTCTCCTATCATTTCTCAATCACGGAAGCTATGTTGAGCTTGAATTTGTGATACTATGTTTCCCCGAAAATAAGCCCTATCCCAAAAATAAGCCCTACCATGTTTTTAAGCATGTGCCCAATATAAGCCCTACCCCCAAAATAAGCCCCACTTAAGCGCCTGTGCAGCCGGCTTGCTGCCCATTCCATCTGGCTGGTTGTGCAGCAGTTGCGAGGGAAGGCGGGGGGGAGCTGCCCCACACACCCTGTACCAGCTTACCTCAGAGCCCTCGCAGCCAGGCTATCTATGCCCCAACACCTGCCTTGCCTCATGGTGGTGGCTCCGCCATGCCTGTCCAGCAGGGCCTTGTGTGGCCGCCAGCCCACTTCTTCTGCTTGCTTGTGCAGACACAATAGAGTAGGGTGCTGAGCGATGTGTTGGTGCCGTGGCTGTGAGGCAAGGCAGGTGTCCGGGTGTGGATGGCCTGGTAAACCGGTGTGGGGCACATGGGGAAGCTCCAACCCTCCACCTCGCCTTGTGGCCATGGCATCACCACATCACTCAGCGTCCTGCTCCATTGCGGCCATGTGAACAAGCAGAAAAAGTGTGCCGGCAGCCACACAAGGTCCTGGATGGTGCTGTTGGAGCCACCACTGCAAGGTGAGGCTGGTATTGGGACATAGGTGGCCTGGCTGCAGGGGCCCTAAGGTAAGCTGGTGCGAGGTGTGTGGGGCAGCTCCATCCCTGCCTCGCGGCAGCAGCACTAGCATGCCACACAGCCTCCTGTCCAACCGTGAGCAAGCAGAAGAAGTGGGCCTCCCATATACATGGGGGGGGGAATAAGACATCCCCCAAAATAAGCCCTAGTGCTTATTTTGGAGCTGAAAAGAAAATAAGGCTAGGTCTTATTTTTGGGAAAACACGGTATTTAAAGGAAAAGCTTCAGAAAATCTCAGAGCTGCTTTACAGTGGCTGACATTGCCAAAGATGTGACTCTTATTTTCCACTGTGTAAAGTAATAAACTGTGATGCAACATTGTTTTTGAACAATGGAACGGAGTATGAATGATTTGTACAATTATGAAGAGGGACAGTACTACTAAATGACAATTTCTTCATGTTCTTTCTGCAATTGTCATTTAGTAGTACTAATGATACTAGTTAGTATGCTAACATACTAGTTAGTATGCTAACATACTAGTTAGCATACTAACTGGTATGCTAATAATACTGAGAATGTGTTCTTACATGTACAATCATTCATTTTGGGAGATCACCAGATTTTCCAAGCTGGATTTGAATTCTAATATGAATAATTCTAAATTACTTAAAGATTGGACAGTTAATATACACCCATCATTTAATTATGCAATCTGTGCAATCAGAGAAAACCATGTGATTCAATACTTCTGCCTAACACCAGGGTTTAAAAATAGTTTGTATTCCATTGACTGTAGGAAGTTTTTCAATAGTAGGACAATTTTTTAAAGCTATCCAGTATGTAGAATACTTAAGAGGGTTGGGTGTATCTGTTAGAGGTGTGTGTGTGTGTGTGTGTATTCAATATTATAGATTTAATGCATTCTTTTTAATCTGACAGTGTCTTTCAATCATTTAAATAAAGTCTTGATTGATATTCATTTCAAATGGAAGAAGTTGGTAAACAAGATTAAAACTTGGTTGTGTATCAGAGATTAATGGATTCTGTTTAAGCAACTTGTTCCAGTTATGCTGGTGGGCATTGGCATCCATAATAAACCATGATGGCATGTGTGAAGGAATGGGGTGCTTTCCTAGCTTCATTATTGCTTTCTCTTCCCACTTTAGAAAGTCTGTTCAAAGAAAGGGTCTTCAGCAGCACCCAGGGAGCCCGAGATGAAGAAATGACCAATTACTCAGAATAATCTAAAGTACTTAGAGGCAGATTCTGGCCCAAGATTCTGATATAGAGTATTTCTAAGGACAAATAACAGCACAGCTACCCTTACTACTGAACTGAACAGCAACTTGGAATATGGTTTCATATGAAATCTCCAATAATATCTTGAGTTGGTAGTTGGTAGATTTAATGGAATATGCATATATAACATATAACCCAATCCTCAATACTTGATTGAGAAGATCGGTATTCATAATACTTTGCATTGTCCCAACCTGGATATGTAAGAAGAATGGTCCATTTTGTGGAGATGAATTTTCCAAACTTCAAGTGGGGGAATGGCCATTTCTGCATTGCCTCGCAGAAGCTCCTCTGGAGGTAACTTTGTTGCTTTTGTCCTTGATGCCCTACTGAAATTCCACATGGCCAGTACAAGCTCTATGAACAGATTAAACAGATTAACAGAGTTGGAAGGGACCTTATAGGTCATCTAGCCCAACCCCCTGCTCAAGCAGGAGACCCTTCACCATTTCTGACAAATGGCAGTCCAATCTCTTCTTTAAAGTCTCAAGTGATGAAGCTCCCACAATGTCTGAAGGCCAATCAACCATTGGTTGATTGTTCTCACTGTCAGAAAGTTCCTCCTCATTTCTAGGTTGAATCTCTCCTTGGTCAGTTTCCATCCCATTATTCCTTGTTTGGCCTTCAGGTGCTTTGGAAAACAGCTTGCCCCCTCCTCTCTGTGGCAGCCCCTCAAGTATTGGAAGACGGCTATCATGTCTCCCGTGGTCCTTCTCTTCACTAGACTAGCCATGCCAGTGAGGACAATTAACCAGTGGGACAACTTGCCTCCATAAATCATGGGTGCTCCATCACTGGAGGTTTTAAAGAAGAGACTGGATAGTCACTTGTCTGAGATGGTATAGGTTCTCCTGCTTTAGAACGGGGTCCCTTCTAAAAAGTCCCTTCTTTACATTTCCAACACTCATTTGAAATACTTTTATACATTTTTGACAATTTATCTGGAGTTAAATACCAATGATACATCATCTTATAGAAATTTTCTTTAAGTTATAGTTTAATGTAAATGTTAAACCTTTATTCCACATATTCTCCCATTTTTCAAGCAATACATCTTCAAACACTGAATCATACAATGCTTGTTCATTTTCCAGATTTAAATTCAATAACATTTTATAAACTTTAGCAATAATATGTTCATCACTACCACACAATAGGATTTCCAATTCACTTTTGAATTGACTTTGATTAGACTCTCTGTCTAATTTAAATCTTTCAGTTGTAAATATGTAAACCAATGGCAGACATGACCTTCTGATTCTAGCTCCTTAGATTTGAGGGTATGGTCACCCAAGTTAAAAGATATTATTTTACCATAAGTCCACCAGTTCGTCCTTGTCATAATTTCTTTTCTTAAAAAAGCTTTCTGTGGAGGAACCCAAAGAGGCACCTTCATGGAAAAACTTGTTTTAAATTTATTCTAAAACTCTCAAAATAGCCCGTCTGACAAAATGGTTATTGAAATCAACACTTACTTTAACTTTATCATACCATAGGTAACCGAGTTAGGTCTGTCTGTAATAAGAGGTCTCAGCTTGCTCCTTTGAGATAGATAGACTAACAGAGTTGGAAGGGACTTTATAGATCAGTGATGGCTAACCTTTTTGCCATTGTGTGCCAGGAGGGGGGTGGAGGGGTTGTGGCCACACCCATAATTCTATGTGCCCCATGCATGCGCACACGATCTCCCCCCCCCCACTCCCGGTACACAATGGCCCAGTAGGCCCGTTTTTCTTTCTCACCTGGCTTCAGGGCCTCTCTAGCAGACTGGAGAGGGCAAAAATAGCCTTCCCCCCCACCCCAGAGGTCATCCAGAGGCTGAAAACGGCCCATTTAACAACTTCTGGTGGGACTGGAAAGCCCATTTTTTGCTGTCCCCAGCCTCCAGGGCCTCTCTAGGAGTCTGGAGAGGGCGAAAACGGCCTCCCCCCCCCCCCCGGGAGGCCCTCCAGAGGCCAAAAACAACTTCCAGTCCCCCAGCTCCTTTAGAACTCTGGGATGTAATCCATCAGGTCCTGGTGATTTGTATTCATTAAGATCAGACAGGTGTTCTCTTACTATTTTTTTGGCTTATTTTAACTTTTATTTTATTTTAACAGCAGTGAGAGCAAGGCAAGATCTGATTCAAAATGTGTGAAAGTTACAGATTGAAAGTTTCCCCAAATCCCTCCCCCCAGGGTCCGGTATTGAGGGTCCAATCAAGGTCTAGTATGATGTTGTGTGAAGCTCGTCTTCAGGTATTTCATCCATCTGGAGTCCTAGGATGGTTGGTCTTGACAGGGGTGTAAACAACTCCACTCAGCAGTGCAATAATTCTTGAGAGCAAACTTCCCTACCTATTCACATGGAAATTCATCTCACCAGCTCACTTCCCCAACCCAAATACCATGCCCCTCCTCCCCATTACTATGGCAGCCAATAGTAAGCATGCAGCAAACTTGAACCCCATGCTGGAGATCTGGCTGACATTCGGCCCTCCTGCAGAAGAGGCGTTAGCCCTAAAAGGGGAAAAAACAAAGTACAAATAATGCAGAGAGTAACATACAGTACAATTTAGTAGAGGAACATTATAGTTTATCAGGTTATTTTTGGTGAAACAATTGAAAGAGTTTGGGAGCCCAAACGTTCTGAGAGTCCACCCATTCAGATTGTGAAGGAGGGAAGTGTTTCCAGGCCACCAAATATTGTACTTTCCCTCTTTCTTTGACTTCAAAGTGTTGTTCCCCTTCTATGAGGAGGGAAGCTGGGGCAATCTAACATGAAATACTAGGTGGATCTACCTAAGAGTTTTGGGCAGCTCT